AAAACATCTGGAAATAAGTAAAAATTTCTTAAATTAAGTGAATTTACCCTAATTTGGTAAATTAGGTGGTTTGCCAATGGAATGGGAAAATATGCACTTTAAATAAGACAATATAATTGTTTTTTTTTCTTATTTTAATGTAAATTGTCTTGTTCCGTTGGCAAAATGTCTGTTTTACCAGCTCAGTCAAAGAACAAATGCACTTATTTGAAGAAAAAATGACTTATCTCGAATTCTAGATAAGTCTAAATCTAGATACGTAATTTTTTTCATAAAATAAGTGCATTTGTTCTTGAAGTGAGAGAGTTTGCCAATGGAACAAGACAATTTAAACAATTGCAATCTTTTTATTTAATGAGTATTATCTAATTATTCTATTTTAAGAGTAAAAACACTCATTCCACTGGCAGATCATCTTATTGAGCTGCTCAAATTAAGGGTAAATACACTTAATTTAAGAAATTTTTACTTATTTCCAGATGGTTTTTGCAGTGAAACTCCTACAAGATGAAGTCAGAAACGGCGCGGGGGGGGGGGATACCCGCTGACTATTTTAGATTTCTGCTTTTTAAAGCAGGCAGGAGCAAAGTAGAGGCCGCAGTGGCAGCAGTGGAGACGGTGTGTTTAGCTCGTCCACTAATTCACCAAACCCACCAAGCGCCTCACTGTAATTATCTTCTCTCTACTTTGACCCCCTTTGATCCAAACATCTGTTCAGCAAAAAAATATGTCTTTTTATAAACGGATACGTGTAGCTGAGGCATGAAACATTTGGGTGTATAGTTTATTTCAGCCTGCAGACCAGAGCAGCACTGGTTTTATGGGGTGGAGAGGAGGAGGCGGGGGGTTACTGTGTCGAGCGAAGGTCATCTGTTGAACAAAGACCTCTGCCTGACGTCACGGAGCCTGAAACAAAAGGAAACATCTCAGCTCATGCCACGCTCAGCCTGTGGATTTCTGCAGGCATATTTTCACGGATTCTCCGTCACTGAATCCGTCTGCTGTCAATGAATTCCCTGTTCGCAGGCCGCCGCTTTTATGAGAGCCGTGATTCATTCTGAGAACAGGACGCGTCATTAACGCAGCCGTCCTCAGGACAAAGTCCTGGTCTGAAGCTCGGTGGTGGTCGCACAGAGCTGTGATGCTCAGGAGGCCAGAGGTCACAAACTGATGAATGAGGGAAGTTAATGATGAGGAAAACGGCTCCAAGTCAGCAGTTAGAACTTTATGGAAAAGTTTGTTAAAAAAAAAACACTTAAAAAAGTAAAATAATCATTGAAGCGGAAAATTTCAACTGCATTTGTTCATGTTCATTACATTATGAAGAATTAAGTTATTCCTGGAACTGTTCAGCAGCTGAAACAGCTCAGAGACTGTTTTCACACAGAATAATGTTTTTAAGCTTTTATTTTCTGAAAGTGATTTATTTAATCAAAAAATGAAAATAGGATAAACATTAAGGACCTACAGACAGAGTTTGTTCACTGCATAAAATAGAAATCTAAATAAGTGCATTTGTTCTTGAATGGTGGAGGTCAGTGAAACACTTTGCCACTGGAATAAGACAATTTATATTTAAAATAAGAAAAAACAAATAATTGCCTTGTCTTTTTTCAAGTGCATGATATCTAATTATTATTTTTACTTATGTTAAGAGTAAAAAATACTAATTCCATTGGCAAATCCAATTATTTACCTGCTCAAATTAATGGTAAA